AGCCAACATGATGCCTCTGAGTTCTTGGTGTTGCTTTGGGAGTTGTGGGGGCAGACGAGGCTGCAAGGAAATTGGCATGCTCACTTTGGTGGGCGGTGGCGTGACTTTGGCTGACTGGGCAAATGAAGGAAATGGGCAATGCTTGGGCAGTGAGGTTGAGCACATCGTCTTTCACATTAGACGCTACTCTTTGTGTGCCCGCAAGCCAGAGCATGGATCAAGCACCATCACCTTCTGCGTACGCCCTCAACTTTCAAGTGCCCGCAGAGAACGCAAACTGGAACTCTGGTCACTCCACCTTTGTGTTGAGAGGCATCATAGCTCATCAAGGACAGGAAATGGTGTCGGGTCATTACGTGACAATGCTGGTGGAGGGTGAAGCCGTTTGGATTGCAGATGATGGTCGATGTCCGGAAGTGCATCGAGTGCCGGAACAGATCAAAAAGGGGGCGGTTATGATTGGCAACTTTGAGCCGCCGCCAAAGAAAGCAAGACATTCTCACCAAGAGATTGAGTTCTTATATGCAAACATCACCCAATGGACCAAAGATGTAAAGGAATGGATGATCCAGCAGGACCACTCTATCGTGATGATGGTTGAAACGCATCTCCATGGACAGAAGCTGGAAGGAGTGCACAATGACCTACGTCGACATAGGTGGCACCCCACCCTCTTGGGAGCACATGAAACTGCCAACGTCCTGCAGAGGCAGCACCCTGTACCTCAAATGTGGGGAAGATTTATTTGAACTCGAAGGCCAACTCCTTGGGGCAGCTTGCGGCTTTCCTTGAGGAGCTGCCCATCCCGTCAGTTGTCATTGGAGACTTCCAAGTGCCACCCACTCAGTGGGAAGGACATAACTTGCTCAATGTCCTGAAGGCGGAAGTGATGAGCAGTGGACAGCCAACGATGATCGGCGGAGCTGATAACTGGATTACCTAGTGGTCAGCAGATCTGTGGCTCCTTTCATCGACATCAAGGTAAATTGGGATGTTGCTTGGAAGCCCCATGCTGCTTGGCTTGTTACTGTGGACAAGGAGGCACCAAGGCTCTTGCTGCCTCAACTGACACAATACCCAGCTGTTCCCAAGTTGGATGATCAGGTTCGAGCGTGGGAGGACTTCCAGCCTGCGCCGAAGCTTTTCTGGTTGGGTAGACCCACTGGGCCAAAGGAGATACAGTATGCAGAATGGTGTCATCAGGCTCAGCAGGTTGTACTACAGCGCCTCCATGAACCCAAGCAGGGTACTTGGCTCTGGAGAACAAACCGCTCCCAATGTCAAAGCCTTTGACACCATGGAAAAAGGGGGATCCGGCGTACTGGAGGCAGTTTAGCTCTTTGTTGAATTGCATTGCGGGCAAATCGAGCATTGGAGTTGGCGCCATGGACCACCTAAGAGCAAAAACTGCAGATCTGGAGGTGCGAGGCAAGAAGTCCATGGCCTTGCGGAGTTTCAAGCTGGAGTGGAGGCGGTGATCCTACCCCCATCACTCTCCTCATCAAAGGGGCTGAATGCAACAAGGAGTTTGCCAAAAAGCTGGGCTTGGAACAGCAAGCTAGTGACTTTCAACAGTGGCTTTCACAAGCCAAGCTCCGGGGACACTGTGGCATTTACAAGTGCCTCAAAGCACCTGGCAATGTGCATGTCCGGCCCTTTCGCAAAGTCCCAGTTCAACAAAGGCAAGCCTTGCGGGAGCAACAGTGGTATGGAAGATGGCGCATCATTGACAAGCCCAAGGAGAGTGCCGAGCGTGAGAGGCTCCGGTGAGAGGGCATTGTGCAAGCCCGGCGTTGGGCCCTCATGAGGTCATGAAAAAGTTGAGAAAGCTTCCGCAGAAGGCCAGTGGGCCAGATGGCATCAGTTACGCCTTGCTCAAAAATCTGCCTATCGAGGGTGTCATTGAACTCTGCCACATGATGCGGAAGTGGGAACTTGCTGGGAGGTTTCGTGATCAGGTGTGCGCTACGTTGGTGCTGCTCCTTCCCAAGAAGGCTGAAATCGAGAGGCCCATAAGTGTGCTGTACCGCACCTGGTGCCGCCTTCGATGGGACAAGATCAGACCATGGCAAACGAGCATTGGCCAGAGATTGCCTTGGGAACGCAGCCTCCCAGGTACGCAAGTCCTTCAGGTTGCTCTGATGAGGCTGCTGAAGTGTGAGGTAGGCCAAGCGGTTGGTCGACGTGTCATCTCGCTGCTCATAGACCTCCAATGTTTCTATGATAGTGTGGAGCTGACGCAACTTTTGCAGCTTTGGGAACCTTTGGATTTCCCTCCTGCCTTCGTGAACTTCATCTATGAAGTTTACAGTGGCCCGCGGTTGCTTCAGGCAGAACAAGTCACATCCAGTGCAGTTCATTCTGAGAGGGGAATGTTGGCAGGATGCCCGGCGGCCCCGCTGGTTGCGAAACTTGTCTTGGCCCCAGTCTGGCAGGACTTCCATGACAAGCATCCCAAGGCATCTGTGGATGTGTGGGTAGATGACATATCCATTGACTTCGTTGGAGAAGATGCCCACATGGTGTGCAAGGAAGCCCTGGCTGGATACGAGGAAGTGACTGGTTTCCTGGCCTCAACTGCTGAAACCAAACGGAGGTGAACCTCTACAGATCTGAAGGACTTAGGTCTGGATTCAAGTGGGGGCCGCCGCAGAAGGATTGGCAATCAGCAGAAACGACTGTTGAAGGGCAGTGGACGACAATCAAAGCTCTTGCACCTGAAGTTACGGTGTCGCCCAATCCGGATCAGAGTGTGGAAGACGTCCATTCATTCTGCAGTCAGTTTTGGAGTTGAAGCACAGGGCTTGGCGCCTCAGAGATTGCGCACCTTGCGGCAGCAGCTGGCTCGACATGGGCGGGGACTTCACAAGAAGGGCAGCGTTGACATTGTGTTTGATCAACATGGTTTCCTTCAAGACGCCAAGGACACTGCGGTGGAGCGGCAACTCAAGGCCATGCACCAATTGGTTCGAGCCTTGCCAGCAAATCAAAGAGGTGAGTTGATGTCGGCCTGGAGGGTGTTTTGGAGTTGCAAGCGGCCGCACACCCCTGGATCGTTGTTGCTGGACCTATGGCAGCTTTGCAGGTTTACTTCATGGAGATGTGATGGGATGCCTCGGTGCTTGATGATTGGGTGCGGCCAGCAACTGGGCTCCTGCCTGCAAATCAGCTCAGCCTAGACTTTCCCTGGCCATATCTGCAGCTGCACATTGAACAGAGGCATCAAAGGGCTCGCAGGATCCAAGAGCTTGAGCATTGCTTTCGCCTGATGAGGCAACCTGATTGGACTGTCTATCACCGGGTGATCAAAGGTCTCAAAGGGCCTGCCAAGGCGGCTGTTGATGCATGGACCCATAAATCCTTGCGGACCCATGGAGCACGGGAGAGAGTGGTTTGCCCGTTGTGCAATGTTCCGGTCACTCTGAAGCATTTGGTCTGGCAGTTCAAGTAGCATCAGGAAGAGCTACCCCAGGAATGGCAAGCGAGCATTCAGGCAAATGAAGATGCCATGTTGTGGGCAAGAGGCCTCATTGAGTCACCGTCCTACATCACTGTGGAAGGCCCTGATTCGTGTGAAGTCACTGGCTTGTTTGCTCGGGGATAGCCTGTTCGACTTGGACATTCTCACAGACTGGCCAGTGCAGTCCACACGCAAAGATGTCCGCATCAAGAAGTATGCAGTGGCTTTAACAGCAGGAGTTTGGCAGGAAGGCTCGTGGCAGATCCTGGGCACTTGCACAGCTCTTGCCCCGGGTCAGGCCTCAGAAGCCAAGGGGGGTGGGTATTTGGAATTTTGCTCCTCCTTCACGCTGTCATTGGAAAACATCAAGTCAACATCCCCAGCAAAGCTGGATGGGAAGCCCTCAAGAAGGGTGCTGTTGGGAAGACTGCCCCAGATCTGTGGCACAATTTGCCGGAAGAAGAGTGGCTGCGAGGAGCAAGGAGGTGACTCCAAAGCATGGATGCAGTTCCTAGAAGCCAAATTGGCGGCGAAGAGCAGGGCGGCAAAGGAGGCACCCCATGCGCTGGAGGCTGAGCTCAAGGCAGATGATATCAAGCACCAGCGCATTTACGAAGTGGCAGCGGGCCGCATCAGTGCCCTGTTGAGTGACCCTGATCACTACATGCACGGCAACCTTGAGAAGGTTGAGATGGAGTTCAAGGTCAAGCCGACCAAACCCAAAGGACGGGTTGAGCTCTTCAACCAGCTGGTCCAGCAAACCCCGGTTGCAGGGCAACACAAATGGCTCCACCATCGCCACGGAGTGCTTTGTGAGTACTGCGGCAAAAAGATCAAGGGCTGCAGCACTCATGGTGAAATTAGCAGCAAGCAGGCCACTGAATGTCCTGGTACTGTCTCCAAGACGTTGAAGCAAATCATGTCCGAAATGGTGCAGGACACTGAGAACATGCCTGATGAGCAGCCAGGACACAGATGGCTCATGCGTGCCACCAACTTTAGCTGCAGTCGCTGCTGGGCCAAGATTCCGTTGCGCAGCGGCAAGGCAGTTCTGGAGAGGTTGAAGGGCTCAGAATGTCGTTTTGGAAGAATGACTGAAGCGGAGTTGAACCTTCGGATTAGAGTCCACCCTAGCCATGAAGTTTGGAGGCGGGGGGCTTGGCTTGAGTGCCAAAAATGTGGCCGCACCTCAAAGGAACAAGATGGACGTGTTCAAAGTTGGATGGCAGTTGGATGTGCTAGACGCACTGGGCAATTGAAGTAGAACTTTGCCCCACGCAGCTCGGACAGCTGAAGAGCGTGGTAGATGATGTTGAGGATTTCAAGGTGAATGAACCTTAGTCCTGCCACTTTTGGCTTGAAGCCGTGGCTTGCCGTGACTTCGGCGTGACAGAAAAGAACCGATAAAAAAATGAGCATACGATCGCAAATGTATTGGGGGCATTCCACCTATGAATTGAAATCCTTTTCCAGTGACGCTTCTCAGTCGGGTTCCTTGGAAGAACTGTCCTGCGGCCAACAGCAGTTCAACTTTGAGCAGGAAAAAGCCGAAGCTGACCGTTCACTTCATTCAGGTCCTCGAAGACTTTCCCTGGGCAGCTGGGCTGTAAGCCATCGCCCCGTCGCTTGTGAGCTAGGCACATGTGAGTCTGAGTGTAGGCTCCTTGCAGAAGCTCATGCAAGCTCGGGTTGATGCCCGCTTTGAGACCAATTACCTGAAACTGGTCGACGAGGCCTTGAGACTTGATATTGGGACAACAACTGCCTTCCTGTATCTCCCTATTTGCAAAGTTGTGCAAGTATCAAAGTGAGTGTTGGAGGCCAGCCATGTAAAACACAAAATTGCAGCCCAGGACGGCTGGTTTGACAAGGCGTTTGTCAATTATTTTGCTGGAGCTCCTGGAAGCAGCTAGCCTAAACAAAAACATGGACACCACTTTGCCACTTAGCACGTGCTTTGCATCTTTGCTCTCCTTTTTTGATGAGGCAAGCACGCCAATATGACCGAGCAGCTTATCCGTGTGAAGCCCAGCTCCACATGTTACTGAGTTTTCTCATTCAGATAGCGGAAAACTTTATATAATTAGTAATTAGGGTATCTTACTTGATTTAGACTCAGGCCCAGGCCCTGCCTCGAACCCTAGAACTCTGACAGCCAAGCTTTGATCTCAACTTTTTGCCTGGAACCCTGGAACTCTGGAGCCAGATTTTTCTCCATCCCCTTGGAGCCAGCCATGCTGTAGTCGTGGCTTTGCGCCAGAAAGTCTGACTCCTGTGACTCTGCACGCAGGCTTTGATCGCAACTTGCCACATCACCCTGGAACCTTGAAACGATGGAACCCTTGAACTGGGTTTTGGTCGCAGATTTTGGCCTGGAAGTCTGGACTTCCTTGGAGACCTGAAACCTTGCCACATTGGAACCAGGTTATGATCTCAACTTTGGCCTGCAACCCCGAACCCTCAAAACTTGGAACTACGAAACCCTGTGACTTTTGAGGCAGGCTCTACAGTAATCGTATTTTTGGGAACCGTTATCACTTTGCGTTTCTTGTTTAGCCCTACTTCTTTTGCATTCCGGGGGACCAAACTGCTATTTGGAGTCTATCCTGGTGTAATGATTAAGGAGTAGGCTATGGCGGCTTTGGTTTCAACTTTTTGCCTGGACCCGAAACATGTAGGGCCTGATTATGATTGACAAATTTTGGTCTCGATCCGTGCACCCTTGCATCTCACATTGCATTGCTTGGTTGATGAGTTCACCTGTGCGCATTCGGGGTAGCTGTCGCGCGTGCAGGTTCAGTTCACATGTTCTCCGAGAATCCCATTGTTGTGCTGCACCTTGGCAGCCGGGCTCCTGACACATGGACACCAAAGCGCTTCCCTCGTTTGTCAGAGGCTAAGCTTTTGACTTTACAAATGCCAGGCTGCATGATCGGCATTTTTCCTTTTTCAACTTTGCACGGAGGCTTTTGGTTCATGCTGCGCCAATGGGGGCAGATTCACACCGTAGCTTCAACTTCAACAAGCTACGCTCTTTTCTGATCTCCCGAGCGCTGATCTTAGATTATCTGAGATTCACACACATACATTTGTTCACAAATAGGTGATGCGACAAAGTGATACCCTCTTGTGTACTTCAGCGCCTCCCGATGGGAACACAGGCACGTGGGTTTCTGGCCAAACTTACAGGCCCGAGTTGGAGTTGAGCTGGACTCCGACCAGTTCGTGGGGCCTGGAGTAGACTACATGTTGCCCTGCTGCATCTCTGGGTGGCCGTTTTGACAAACCATCTTTACAGCAGTGTCATGCCATGCGGCTCCTGTGGTGCGGTAAGGTTCGAGATGACGGAGAAGGATATCGGATAGACAACAGACAACAGACGTAAGTTGTGTGAGCAATATGTCGTGGCTGTTTCTATGACCACTGCACGCTGTGCAAGGAGATCGATGAACACTACAGCCTCCCTATCATGCCCGTTCATTTCTACAGCTTTACCCAGGCACTTTTTAGCCTTCAAAGATGCAGAAAGAAGCATGTGTTGTTCTTTGAGCAGTGTTGGCCAGCGAGTAGGCCAAGCAATAAAGCTAAAGAGAGTGCTAAAGAGTTTGCACCAATGGTCCTAAGATGTGTCATGGCAGTGTAGGCATGGCATAGCTGAGATCACTCGTTCCTGCATTGGGGGACTATATAAAGGGTTCACATCCTTTGTGGGCGATAGTTGAGGCAATCATTGCAGCACGCAGGACCTTTTTTTCTGCTCAAGGATCTTAGTTTTAGAACATCATTGCATTTCAGCTCTTTGAGTTCCTCCTTTGTGTGAGTAAGTATTCAGCTGCTGTCGAGGTTCGTTGTGCACTAGTCCGGATTTCTGAACGCATCATGAGTCAAGAGCCAATTTATCCGGATGAGACCTGCCGTCTGGTCCACACTCATCTGCTTGTAGGAATTTTTATCATGTCTTGTGACACTTATGTCCAACCGTTGCTGCTGCCCACCTGTATCCATCCAGCCATTTCTGGCACATTTGCCCTACCTGGCCCTACTGTACCCCATTTCATCTCATGTTTCTTCTCAGCAATCTGAGGAACTGAGACTCCTTGGAATGTCCTCCCCATCTCAAGTATTGCTGCCTCCCATCCTCCCATCCCAGCTCACCCAGGCTCATCACCTGGCTTCGTCGAGCAGTCACCTTTCTCAGACTCAGCCATCCAACTATCTCAAGATGAGGATAAATCATCTTCTGCTTCATTTGCACTGCAGGAGCACAGGAAACTCATGTAGCGAATGTTTTTCCTTGACTTGTATCTCCATGTCCACCAAGTGCTAGGCAGACACACCACAAAATGTGTGGTGGCAGCGCTATTGCCCTGATCCGCCTGCCGCTTGTTAGAAGTCTGGACAAAGGATGTAGCGATGCAGTGGAATCTTGACACAATGCTCAGAGATGCCCAGGCATGCAAGCCCCACACAATGCGTTGGAGCCATGCACATCCCACCTGGACTCTCAGTTGAAACATAGGGAGGGTTAACCCATTTCTTGCCAAACTGGTGTGCGTTGTGTGATTTCTCAAGGACCTTTTGGTCTTTACCATTCATCGGTCGCTGGCTGCGGCGTCATTTCAGGGACGAGCACCTGAAAAGCAAGAAGACCCTGGTGTATATAGATTAAGATTAAAATGAGTTTGCTATGCGAATCCGCATGGAACTGCGAGGCTTCTACTGGCCACAGCCAACCATGCTGCATCTCTTGCAGTGTCGCAAATTCCGGAAGATGAAGACTTGCTAAATGTTGCAACATGGGAAGCCACTCATCACAAAGATGGGATTTTACTCAAATTTGAAAGCCACTCGCCACTCGCACACAAAGTCCCTTCAGACTCACCGGTTTGAACTTAGGAGAGGGGGAGTCTTGGTTGCAAATGCTGTGATGCCCAGTGTGCAGCTGTGTTTGATATGTCTGGTGCTTTTTGCTTGAGGACGAAGCAGTGGTGCAAGTTCGACAATGACTACCATGAGTTTGTCGATATGCTCAGTTGGACGCCTCAGTGCCTTGGACATGCTGCATCATCTCGATGACCTTTTTCTGACTTTCTTGACATGCAAATGCATTTGCATGGCAAGTCACCAGCAACACACACGGTGCACGCAAGTTTCAGGGTGACGTTTGGAGTAACATGTTCGATTGATCAAAATACTTATGCGCAGGGGCGGCCATCACACTACGACGGGTGACATTGCAAGCGACCCAAAGTTCTACCCACATGGTGCAGCAAAAGCCATGACCTCAGCTTGCTGGAAAGGTGTTTACTTCAGTGCTGTGTGACAGATTTTTACCCCTTTGCTCGAGAACTCTTGCAGTCGCCAACCTGCTCGGCAGCCTTGGCAGGCCTTCTTTACGGCGCACAATTGCAAAGATCCGATAGCCACTGAAACTTGCTTGCACCTGCATGCTCTTGCGCGCAGGAGAGCTAGATCAGCTAAAAAGAGCCGTTCAATTCCTCAGCTTTTCCGTGACTTCTTCCGAGGCCAAGATGCTGGATGATGCTCGTCAAAAGCAATCTTTTGACGGTTTGTGCAGCACCGCGCAGATGGAGAGATGTACCAAGGAGATCCAAAGTCGTTGGGAAAACGGGCTCTATCCGCCTTCTACTATCACATACAAGGGCCAATTCTGGGAATCTGGAGATGATCTTCGCAAGGCGCAACTTAAGATAGTCCTATAGATTGTGAAGAGCTATTTTTTAAATATATAGTTAAAGAATGTTAAAGATGTGTGATGTGCGTCCTCCTGATTGGGCACAATGATACTGATATGTCGCAGCTTTGGCAGTGACATTGCCGACCAGTCAGCCCAAGCCACCACTGTTGGCTCCTGCTAAAAGTGAGGGTATTGTTCATTCGAAAATGGGCAATGAGTGCATTTTCCTGTTGCCAATGTCCAGGAAGATGCACATAAGTCACATAAGTGTGCCTGTCCTGTGCAGCCAACAGTTTTTGCTTCAGCCACGCATCGTGAAACTACTATATAATTTAGTTACTTGCGAAATAGCATTCACTTGTGACCGCAGGCCCTTAGTGCTGAGAAACTGTGCACTTCCGCATGGTAGCGGAGCTGTGACGTCGATTCTTTCAAGTCTCGACTGAGCTCCAGCGCGGATTGGAGCCCCAGGGTTTATCTTCGCCCTCGCCGAGCGACCATATAAAGCTAGTGTGGCAGAGTTCTCGCAATCTGAGCTTGTGTCGATTTGACGGCCCAGCGTGAACTCCACCACCGATCTTGACCTTGCCCCCATCTTGGAATTTGAAGAGGTGTTTGAGGAGTCGGCAGAGCTCCTACCTCCTTGAGCCCAAGAAGGTCCCTGAAGCAGAGAAAGGTGTGAGAGGGTATGGATGGATCGGGAGGCGAACTCTCGATAGCAGGAGCTGGCATGACTGAGCTCACCCAAGCCCTGATCGGTGCTGCTCAAGCGGCCACTCTAGCCGCCAGTCAGGCTGCCCAAGCTACAGCTAGTCAGAGCTCTCCTACAGGTGGAGGTGATGCTGGTGGGCTGAAGAAAGATTTGGCCAAGTTGATACCACGACCTCAAGTGTTCAACCCCGCTGACCGTGAGCAGGAGGTTTTACAGTGGAGAGATTGGTTTTGGAGTTTGAAACAGTATTTGGTAGTTGTTGATGGGGCATACCAAGAGGAACTCGAGAAGATGGAGGCCAATCCCACTTCAGAGTACGACTGGGACTTGATGTCAGATGAGGACCAGCAGAGAAGCCGCTTCTTGTACTCCCTGTTGGGAGGATTGATCCAAGGCAGGCTGGTCGGAGTCCTGAAGACAGTGGACAAGTTCAACGGCTATGAAGCTTTGAGGCAGCTCCTTGGAAACTGCCAACCCCAGGCGAGGAATCGCACGATGAACTTGCTTCAAGGGATAATGGCCTATCCCCAGTTCAACATGAAGAACTCACTCCTGCCACAGATTCTGAAGTTAGAGGAACACTTCACTCAGTATGAGCGCCTTGGAGGAGGAAAGTTGGCTGGAGATATGAAATCGGCAATCCTCCTAAGGTCCGTGGGAGGTCAGATGAAGACCCACCTGAACATCACGTTGAATGAAGGCAGCAGTTACAACAAGATCAGGGAGTCCATCCTGGCCTTCGATACAGCTACGACAAGGTGGAACGAGTCAGCCGCCTTATCCTTCTCAGGTATGAGCCCAATGACTTTGACGACTGATGGTCTGGTGCCCATGGAAATCGACCGAGTGCAGAAGGGAAAGGGTGGCAAAGATCCGAAGGGAAAAGGAAAGGACTCGAAGTCAAAAGGAAAAGGAAAAGACGAGAAGGGCAAGGGCAAGAGCAAGAATGGGAAGTTCGGCGGAGGAGCAAAAGAAGGTAAAGGCAAAGGAGCAAAGGACAACAAAGGGGGCAAAGGAAAGGGCAATGGAGAAGTTTGCTGGACGTGCGGGAAGCCTGGTCATCAGGCGAAAGACTGCTGGCGGGTGAGGCAGGTCGAAGCACCGGCTACCCAAAGTGTTGCGGGATCCAGCCAGCACATCACATCACCATCGACTACCACAAGTGGCACTGGTGGTGGAGGTGACCAAAGCACGGCAGCAAAGTCAATTCGAAGAGTTTCACAACCAGCTGTTTTTGATTTGCGAGAAGCTTCAACAGGTGGTTCAATTCGAGTGGTGCAGGAAGCAACCGTGGAGTACTACAACATCTTCACGGACGATGAGAACGACGAGGAGCAAGCAGCCTATGTGGTGAATACGGTGCATGAGAAAAGGGAAGACAGTGAGACAGGGGAAGATTTGGTGGAGGATGGCATCAAAGGTCCTTCGATGGCAGCGATCGTGGATTCAGGAGCAGATGCATCCTTGTTCCCCGGCTTCATGAAGGAGATGGGCGAGGAGTCATCTGGTGGAACACCCCATTTGCAGGATGCCCAAGGAACCAAAATCAAGACCTATGGGAGTCGAGATGTGGACATCATCTTATGGTCTACAGAAGGTCGCCAAGTGGTTTTGAAAGAAAAGGTCACCTTCAGTGACTGTGTGAGCCAACCGATCATCTCATTTGGAAGGCTCATGAGAAGTGGATGGTCCTTGGATGCGAATTCGATGTGCTTGACACATGGAGAGCTGGAAGTGCCGCTGGCCAAGTCACATCACTGTCAACGATGTGGTCCTCAAACTGGAAAGTCCATTGAGGAGCCTGAGAGCAGCCTGTTCCTACAAGGTAGGCCAGAGTGGAGGAAAGAAGAAGTGCTTCGGCAGGTTGTTGGAGCACCAGAACAAGATGGAGTTGCTGCCCGCGAAAGATTTGGCAGCGCAGGCAGAAGCGTTCGAGAAGCGCATTCCTTTGGAGCAGGCGATGGCGAAAGAGCCTACAGAGGAGGAGAGGAGACAGCATCAGCTGACTCACATTCCATATGCCCCATGGTGTGCTTCTTGCCTCAAGCATCGAGCACGGCAGGACCAGCGCAGGAGGACAGGCAGAGCTCGTGAGCAGGGATGCCCAACTATCTCGTTCGATCTATGCCATGTTAGAGCCTCAGGGTCTGGAGCATTGGGAGGAGAAGATGAGGAAGACAAGGCACAGCTGGGAGTGTCAGATGAAGGAGGAGCACTACTCCTGGCAGCTGTATGCTCACAGACAGGATACTTGTTGGCTTCGCCATTGAAATCGAAGGGGCAGCTGGCATTGATCACTCACGAGTTGCTTGCCTTCACGCAGATTTTGGGGCATGAGGAGGTGCAATATTATTCAGACAACGAGCCTACTCTGAGGCAAGCATTCAAACTCCTACTCCAATCGAGGTCTGCATTTGGACTGAAGACGACCATGAGGACTACCCGGATTTACGATGCAGCTGGAAACAGTTTGGTTGAGAATGCCATCCAACGCATCAGGAATGTGGCTGCAACCCTCATGGAGAGCCTTACAGAGTCCACAGGCCTTCGCTTCAGCAGCCAACATCCACTATGGACATGGGCATGCAGACACGGGGCTTGGTGGCTGAATCGGTTTCAACCCTTTCAAGGTTCAACAAGCTACGAGCTGTGCCAAGGCCGAACCTATGAAGGAAAGCTGTGCGAGTATGGGGAGATCTGTTTTGCGTACTCAAAGCCCAAGCAGGGTTTCAAGGCAGACCCGAGATGGAAGGTTGGGATTTGTCTTGGAAAGACAGAGATCCAAGACGCTTGGGTGATTGGCGATGGCAACAGAGTCTTCCTCAGCAGATCATTGAGGAGAGTCTCCAACGCCAACAAGAAGTACTTGGCCTGCTACCAGAACTTTACAGCCTATTCCTGGGAGTTCCAGCAGAACTTTGGAGGACGTATCGTACCCTCCAAGAGGCTAGCAGCTATGGTGACAGGACCAATGGGAGTGCCTATGCCAGTGAGCAAAGCCATAGCAGGTCACGATGAGGATGCCTTGGAGGTGCTCGCCTTTACAAAGACTTTAGCTGGAAAGCTTGAGGAGGCTTAGGATTTGGTAGCTGAAGAGGAGAGGCCAGTTGGAGATGGTGCCCCAAGGGATGAAGAAGAAAGGAAGCTGGCAGAAGACAAGAAGAGGGACTACGTGGAAGATGAGGTCCAAGAGTTGATTCCAGTGGGCAACCCACATCAAATTGATGAAAGCCGGAACCAGGCAGGACCTTCAACAGTGTGGCCGAGCACGCCAAGACCAGGAGCTCAGAAAGGTGCTTTGAGAGGAAGTGAGGAGGAACCTGAAGGAAAGAGATTCAAAGTGACCTTTGAGAAGAATATCCATGGTTTGGAGGCAGTTGCACCCGAAGCTAAGAGGCTGAAACAAGAGGAGAGGGTGCAAGAAGAGAGGAGAGTTGAGGCCACAGAAGTTGAAGGAAGGCTTTACTACCGCATGGACAAGGTCATCGACGAAGACTTTCTGGAATGGGAGGATGAATGGGCTTTAGAAGAAGAAGAGTCCTTTCAGGACATTCCAGATGAGCTCTGGTCTGACGCTCCATTGGATAGAGTTCCACCTGATCCACCCAAGTGGGTCGATGATCTGGCAAATGAAGTTGAGGAAAGAAGGCTACAGAAGTTGGGAGTCTTAATTCCAATGGATGGGTTGAAGAGTGGCTACAAGAAGCTGACCACCAGGTTCGTTCATGACTGGAGGGCGAAACCTAGATCCAAGTTGCCAGGAGCGCCAAAGCAGTTCTTGAGGAGGTCAAGGATGGTGGCACGAGAATATGCTACCGACCGAAGAGATGATGTTCACAGCCCAGCCAGTGGAAGCCAAGCCTTGAGATTGATACCAACTCTGTACCTGATGAGGAAGAAGGAGATGGAGGATGGTGGCTCACCGGTTCAGCTCGGTGCACTGGATGTAAAGGATGCTTTCCTTCAGGTACCACAAGATGAACCGACCCAGGTGACAACAGCCACAGGACATTTTGAGGTCCGTCGAAACCTTCCAGGACAGAGGATTGGGGCAAAAGCTTGGTTCGATTATTTCACTGGTTGGCTATGCGAGAAGGGATTTGAGTTTTCGAAAACGAATCCATGCTTGGGAAAACTCTCCAACAAGATGACAGTGTTGATCCATATGGACGACGTCCTATATCTTGGAGAGGAGGAGTACGTTGTGAACGACTTCTTGCCAAGCATCAAAGCCAGGTTTGAAATCTCAGAACAGCATCTAACAGGTCCTGGCAGCTCCTTTCAGTTTTTGAGGAGAACATATGAGGAGACAGAGACTGGACTGAAGGTTCACCCTGGCAAATATGCCGAAAGCATGGTGGAAATGTATGAGGAGACGATGGGACGTGCAAAGGTCCAACCCCTACCGTGCAGCCAGGAGATGCTTGAGGCTGATGGCACTACACAGCTGAGACCAGATCTCGCAAGTCTCTATAGATCTTTGGTTGGATGTGGAATATACCTTTCACAAGAACGGCCAGATGTATCCTATGTGATCAAGGAGCTCGCCGGGTCAATGTCATGCCCAACAACCGGAAGCTTGAGGAAGCTTGGAAAGTTGGTTGGGTATTTAAAGAATACAATGGGTCAGTACACGATGCTGGAGATTGAGGAGTCAGGAACGGGACTCTCCACGAAGACGACGAAGGGGAGATGGTTGCTGGAGACATTCTCGGACAGCGACTGGTCAGGTTCCAAGAGCCACAGGCGTTCCACATCTGCAGCCATCCACGTGGCCAATGGAGTGGTGGTATTCACAAGCTCAAGAGGACAGAAGAGTGTGACGTTTCTGCAGAGGCTGAGCTTAATGCATTGGTCTCGGCAGCGGCAGATGGAATCTACCTGAGAAAGTGCCTCGAGTTCATTGCGGAGGAGAAGGTGATCCACCATTGTCTAGTTGACAATTCAGCAGCGCTTCACCTATGCCATAGGAAGGGCCCCGGGAAACTTCGGCATATCTCGGGAAAACTGCTGTGGATACAGCATTTGGTGGCACAAGAAGAGCTACAGGTACGAGCAGTGGGAACAGTGTACAACATTGCAGACCTGGGTACGAAACCACTTACCAAGAACCGCATCAGCTTGATCCTCTATTGGTGCAATGCCCGAAGACATGATGGAGAAAGATTAGGCCAGGAGGAGCATGGCCGTTTGCAGGAGATGAGTGTAAACCAAGTCAAGATTAGCAAGTTGGCAAAGTTGCTCAATCGAATCCTGCTACTTGGGGGCCTTGAGCAGGTGGCCGGAGTGAGGGACAACACCATGGAGATTGAGCCCGAGGAGAATGGTGATTGGTGGTGGTGGTGGTGGTTCTTCATCATCATGATTGTGGCGGTAATGGTCTTCAGTGTGATGATCATGATGGTGATGATGTGGAGGCGCATCAAAGCGCTTGAGACTGTAATCCAGCAGATGAAGGATGACAGTCATGTGGATGTTATGACCCAGGGGGCAAGGACCTATGAGGTTGAAGAGAAAGTGAAAGAGGTCAACAAGGAGGTGAAGGAGTTGAAGACCTATGCACAGCAAATCCACAGAGGCTTGGTGAAAGCTTCAGGATATGTTGATGCAACAGAGTTCCACGAAGGAGATTGGAAGCACTGGAACTACCTACAGCATCTTCGGACGATGGATGCCCAAGTTAAGGAGTACCTGAAGGCAAAGCAAGAACGAGATGAAGAGTTGGATGAACAGCAAATCCCGCTGGGAAACCCCAGTCCCCAACGTGAAAAAAAAAGAGAATGAGGATGATGACATCATTGAAGGCGAGGAGACAGTCCAGGTACGACTGGATTCAGGAGAAGTGGTTGAGATACCATTGAGGTTCATCGAGCCTCGTGAGCCCGAGAGTGAGGGAGATGTTGAGATGACAGCCGCACCAGAAGAAGCACCACAAGAGGCGACACCAGAAGAAGCAGTACTGAGCGAGGGAACGCAGATGCCTGAGAGTCGTGATGACCCAACCATCAGCCAAGCTACCAAGGGTTGGATCTCAGGCTTAGAGTTTCGCAGGTTGACAACTTTTGACAAGCCCGCAGCACGCTCCTGCTTAAGGCAAAACAACATTTGATGAAATGTGAACAGGCATGGTGGGACGCAAGCCAGAATGACGATCATGAAAAGAAATACGAAGTTTATGGAGAGATGGATAAGCATTACGAATTTCTGGACTGCGAGGACCTACCATTTTAGAGCTGAAAGTTGAGCAATGAGCACAAAGCCTTAGCTCAAAGCTCAAAGGAGGAGTGCGAAATAGCATTCACTTGTGACCGCAGGCCCTTAGTGCTGAGAAACTGTGCACTCCCGCATTACTGTAAAGTTTTCTGCACCCACCCTTCTCCAAAGTATATGGCCAATTCTGCCAGAGGAGCACCTCTCGACTGCCAACAATTGTGCAACAGAATGCTGTCAGAAGACATCACGACGTTCTTGTGATCAACATGCTGTTTTTTGTTTTTTCTGTGGACATCCTGTACCTACATTCTGTGCAGGCATATCCTGAGCTGCCCTGCATATTCTGAAGCTCAGCTTGTCCCAAATTGACAAAAAAGAGCACCTGCAAACTAACATTGCAGGCAGGACAGAGTCTGCGGCAACCTTTGAGTGTTCAATAACACATATGTCACATGAGTCACATGAGATGCCGCCCTTTCTCACTTTGGCTCAAGACAATTGAGGCAGGCTGGGCTGGCACACGACTAGCCACTTCTAAAGCCATCATGCCAGATTCAGGCACCGGATCAATTTCAAAGGGTTGGCACCTTTTGAAGCAAGTCTGATCGATGTCAGGAAGTGGCCACGCCCTTATGCTTCTCGGTGTAGTTGGAGCTGTATGCGTAGCCGTTGCTGCCCTGGGGCGAAAAGTCAAGAAGGAACGAGAAATGGCAACTTGGCAGACTTGAAGTGAGCTCTATGCGAATCAACCAAGTTTGGACGGGTCCATAGCTGAGGTGACTGTCCAGGCGGAAAGAGCTGCAGAGAGGGAACGAAGACGACAGGAAGAGATGGGAGCAGGAGCCAAAGGCTCTGGAAGATCTGGACGACGTGGTGGGCGGAGATAGCTCACGTTGAATGAGGACATCGCGGTGAATTTCGTAGCGTGCTCAAAGAAAATGCGTTCCCCGCCCTCGAGCCTGTCCTTCGTTAGACTTGCTTGTCGAAACACACGGGGTTGACTGAAAAACGAATCGGAGATTTAGCAACTAGGTTTAGCTTCCACGTGTAGGTAGCCTTTTCCGCAGTCTGTTGGCTCCAAGAGGTAACTTGCGGAGACTTGAAGCTCAGTGTGTTGTTGAGTCTAGCACTCAGCCGAATTACCTGAACCTTCCTCCTGCTTCTGTTCAGCACGTCGGCCGAACCAATCAGCATAGAGGACTCGTGGCAGCAAAATAGACTTGGTTCTTTAGCTTCAGGATTTCAACATACCTGTTGCGCCTCAAGAGCACGGTTGAAATTATTTTCAATAGTGAGTGCAGTCAACTAAAGATTCCAACTTCAGTGCTGTGAACTGGGATGAGGACAGCGAGGATGAGGAGCTGGTCAGCAGCCCACAGCAGCGGAAATACCGGAAGATTGACAATGTTCAAAAGATACACCAAAAGGAGCCCCTATATAGTAGCGTCCTTGCTCCTAGTAGTAAGGCCAGGAGCCCCTAGTAGCATTCTTGTTCCTAGTAGTATAGCCAGGAGCCCTTAGTAGCATCCTTAAAGATACCAGAGATCCACCAAACCGAGGAGTTCCTTTAGCCTTACGATAGGTGTTGTGAAGGTTTGAGCACATTCACGCCGAACAACTTGGGATGAGTTGAGCTATGTATATAATTCCAATGATATTGCATTGGGAATTGCAGTGGTTGAAGTTCTTAGATCATACATGCTACATCCCGCCCATCGCTGTACTTGACCTTCCGCATCTTTTCTTGTAGCCCTCCAACTCCAATACTGCGTTGAGATTGTAGTGAGCGCCCAGGAGCAGCATTCCAGCTTGCATTCACGGAATCCAGGCTCAGTTAATATGATTGTTTGCTGCATTTGTGGTAAAATGTGTGACACAAGGCAACGGCAATGGATTTGGCGACTGATCAAAAATAACATGTTCGCCTAGGACTCGGCCAAAGAGTGCAGCGTGCTGGCCGCTTCAGAGGCTGCCAGAACACCCAGTCATGTTGCGGCAAACTGGATGTGAAAGAGCTGTGTCAGATGAGGAGCTGACAAAATTGGCACCGGCCCATGTTCTTCGCAGGGTGCTGCCCAGCCAGCTCGCCACAGACCTTCTGAAGGAATTGTTGCATGAGTCCAAGGAAATGTGGCGATCGAGCTCATGGGTAGTTCGTGGCAAAGAGCACATGACTCCGCGAACAACTGCCATGTACGACTTGTCGCTAGAAGCTGGGCAAGGGGAAGCAACGAAGGCGAGTACACAGCAGACGAACCCTGGTGCAGAGGAACTCCATCGCCCTCGAGCAAGCTGCATGCCTTCCGAATTGCTAAGGCAGGCAGCTCGTTGTATTCATGCTGCTGTGAAGCAGCACAGGCCCGAGTCAACATGGTCGCCAACCCTGGCGTTGGGCAATCGCTACGATGACGGGAGGGCCTGTGTCGGGTGGCACTCAGATTTTCTGAATTCTCTGGGGCCTCGTCCGATTATTGTTGGACTCTCGCTGGGAGCATGCCGGCGCTTCAGCTTGCGACGCACATCTGACCACTCTGCCGGGCCGACAGGTGCTGTGACTGACAGGCTCATGTGACGTGACCTTGTCATGTACCGAGGTTGTTGCAATCCCTATGCCACACAACACAGTTCGATTCTCACATTCTATTTTGATTCCTTTGAAGTAGCTGTCGATGCATGATTGATGCCAGCATATTACTGTAGGTTAGGAGATGCTAGGAGTGCATTGATGCTAAGGTGGTGATCATGTGGGATGACTGTCAAGAGGAATGGGAACACTCAGTACCCCGACAAGCAGATTCGAGCATTGGCAAACATCCAGTGGCAGGAGAGCCTTGCCCTGTGTTTCTGTCATGCATAAAAGTGTAGACGTCATTCATACACAGGAAAGAAACGCCCGAGAGCCCAATCTACGATATAGCAGGTTTGGTGCGCATATCCTTGACATTCCGAATGGCCAGACCAGAGCTTGCTGAAAAGCAGAAACTCTGCAGCTGTGGCACCTTGAAGTCTCAGGAGTTGCTTCTTTCCTTGTACAATCGTGGCAAAGAAGTGCCTAGTTGATGAATGAAATCTAAGGCAGACCGAGCGTTTTGAAAAGCAAAGGAGGTGTGCCTGCATGAGCAGTTACGCTTGGGTTCCTGTGTGCACAGAATTCTCAAAAAGACTATGCAAGTTGAGACTTTGGATGCTTCTGGCATCCTGCAAGGTCGTTACTATTTGGCTTGCTCTCCCATGGGGACCCCTTGCTGCACTTACCAAGCCACAACAATGCCCTGGCAGTTCATGCCGTTTGGTGACTTCATATTCCGTCTAGCACGTGGATTGCGAATGAGGGTTGGCAGTCCTTGCTAGGTTGAACTTGCACGTGCATTTCCTGGCTGGAAGTCGTGCGACATGTGGGTCAAAAATTGTCTTAATCAGTTTTTGCCCTTGCATCCTGCCTAGGACATCATCACAGCTCCTTGCCATTGTGGGAGGATTGGGGTAGGATGGGTGCTTTAATTGAAGTGCCAAGGTGTGGCTTCTGGGAGCATTGCCCATGGGCGCAGGCTGAAGCAGAGCGTCTTCGGACGTTGCAGAGATGGGAGGCTTCACCAGAGGTCGCTCGGTCTGCTTCTTGTGCGATTGTTTGTCTCACGTGCGAAGGAAGAAGAGGACGGAAAGCAAGACATGGTAAGATTCGCTTGTAGGTGCATGAAGTAAAGCCAGCATATGTTGAAATCCTGGACTGCCACCTGGCTGCAGCGATGCTTTGGGGGACTATGACTAAGTCTGTCTGCTCCCGTGACAGATTTTCAGAAAGCTTATGCTGAGATGTTGAGCAGCTGAGGATTTGAAGAGAGCTTAGGGCGTTCAAGAGTCCATGATGGAGCTCTTTGTGCAAAGTTCAGCTTTCAAAGTCACTCTTTGAGAACCTCAGTTGCCAGAAGATACTAGGAGCCAAAATGGAGGAGAATGGAGACACAGTTGCATTGATCTCTTTGTTCATCCTGCTGCGTGCATGATGGCGAGCTTGAAAGAAAGATCTTCTTGGATGAATCCTGGATGAGACAGCATCGGCTTGAGCGACAAGATTGCCGGTCAGTTCAAAGCGAAAAGGAGAACGGAATAAGCATGGCTGGAACATATAGAGCTGGAACAGTGCCAGTAGTCCTTTAGAAGTGGTGAGTTGTTTTCACGAAGGCCGAGCAGGAAAGTAAAAATAGAGGTGGATTTGAAACACTAGCTTGCTGGCGCATGGGGCCGTTGCCCCTGTCCTCTCTCTCGCTACACTCGGGACTGAATCTGAGAGAAGCTCCTAAATACATTTCTTGCAGACACCTTCAGGCCAGTCAACGAGCACTGACGTAGTTTGGGTGCTTTGCTCTTGTGCAGGCCAGCGTGGCAAGCGTGGCAAACGCCAGCCGTGCGGAGTCGCAGAGCGAAGACCTCACTCTTCACACAACATTCTTTGCACCAGAAGATGTCACACAACATGCTGAGCCGTTTTTTTCTGGAAATGTAACTGCCTTTTCTAGAAACACAACACTTGTTTGGCATGCATTTGAAACATTGTCTGAGGCAAGCAAAGTGCAAAGACATTTGGTCAAATGGTTCACAGCCTATCAGAGCCATGAGGCAAGAAACAGAAGCAACAATGTAGTTTGAGGTGTTGGGTTGCTGTGTTGGTGCATGGCGGTGGCTGTCCTCTACAGCAAGCAGAGGGGCTGCCCGAGCCAAGGCCTGGGCCACATTGTCCCACATGTTTCATCATTGCCCACAACAGTTCCACAGGAGTTGCAGTTACAACATGTTACAACGCAGTTCTGTGAGGGCACATGACCCTAAACCCTAACCAAAGGAAAAGGGCCGCATGGCGGCACGGTCTTAGACAGCCAGGGCTTGTGGTTGCCCAGCTGTTGTGAGCGCTGTTTGCAAGCCATGAGTCATGCAGAAAGCATGGCAGCCATTTTTGGTGTGACGCCATGAGAAGATCATGCCGTGCAAATTTGCAATGATTTTCTGCCTTCATCATTTGCACCCTGCTGTTCATGTCTAATGTCTCATGAACTACTCTGGCCGGCTCGCTCTTGCTAAGAGAATTCTTGCTCCTCAATCCCGCCAGCACTACAGGTGTTGTGCTTTCCTTCACCACGTCCCCGCAGGGATTGAGAAAGCGAGAGAGAGAGAGAGAGAGATTGATCCTACATGTGCGAAAAGTGTGGGTGCCAATGCTGTCCCACAGCAGTGCTAGGCCTTTTTGCAGCCTTCTATGCAAAACCTGGTGGTCGTCATTGCAGGCAGTGTGCAAACCATGTCATTGTTCGCACCAACTGCAAACTGACAATGAAGCCATTGCAGCCACTGTCCATTCCTCGCAGGACCCACAGCAGTGGGAAAATCTGACGTTGCTGTTGAACTCGCCAAACTGCTGCAGAGTCGGGGGCGCAAGGCCTATTTGGTTCTGAAAACGGATGACTGAAAAAGATTTGGTAGATTTTGGTAGTACTTTCTGCATGACTAAATGTAAGCTCGTGCCGGTCTTTGTTGCCCAAAAGTGGCCAGTGACATATGTGATGTGGAGGTGCGCCTCATCAGCGCAGACTCAGTCCAAGTCTACAAAGGCAGTGACACTGCAGACTCGCTTGTTGGAACTAGAGATGAATCGATCTTCGTTTTGGAACTGGTCCAGGGCTGGACATTGGCTCCAACAAGCCTTCGCTCTTTGAGCAGGATGCACCTTCCCGTGATTTTGCATGTTGCTTGCACTGGAGAATCAGCGCATGCAGTGAAAAGCTGCGTAGGAACAGTGGCCCATCCGGCTCATCGAGCTTTGGCAGCTATGCTCTCTTTGGAAGTTTGTGCTTTGGGGTGCTGCCTTGAACCCTTGAACATGCACAAAACAAACTTTCTTTTTATTTTGTATAAATTATATAGATATGTGTATGTGGCAATGAAAGACAAAAAAGGATGAACAAAGGAAGGCAAGGCCCCCTTCCGACAGAACATTACTTCCTCTTCCTCAACAGCGACACTTAGGGGTCTTCAGCCATAGTCAAGACCTTGGAACAGGTCTTGGAAAAATACTACTCTGTCTTTTCCTGAAAGACTGTTCGAAACAGGTTCCGCGGCAAGTTCCGGAGCAGTTTCCGGAGTGGTTCCGGCGCAGGGTCCGAGCAAGTTCCGGCACGCTGACAAAATTCCTGTTTTCACGCTGATGTATGCTGGTGTGATGTCGCGCCGGCATGTTGCCAGGCTCTCATGCTGAGTTATGTTGGTGCGGGTCGCGGCAACATGCTGACATGTTGTCACCGGGAGATGATGAAATCGGGTCACGCTTGCGTGCTGACTTGCAGGCAGGCTCCACAGCGGCGTCGGGAGCAGGTTTTTTGGTTGTTTGTTGTAGTGGGAGGATTGTCACGGCTGCGCATATGTGGGCACATGTGTTGCCGTGAAAAGGTTCACCCTTTTGAACGCAGCCTGTTCTAGCAAAGGCGCGGGTCCTTTTCTTGGGTTACTGTGTATATATATATAATTAATTTTTAATGTTCTTGTCTTGTGCCAAGCAAGCACTTGCATGACACTTTTGGTTGCAGTCTTTGGAATTGGGTGCGTGCCAAGGACTGGGTGGATCCCAACAGGTGGGCGCAACTGCGAAGTTATGAGCAACTTCGTTTCCATTCTGTTACTTTTGGTCTAACATGCGGAGCCACCATGAGCCACCTAAGTACAGACGGCATACGAAGATGTGATACAATCCGAAGATCTCCAGGCCCTGCACTGCTGGAGTTTGGACTGAAGCAGCCATTTGCCGTGTGCCCAGTTTCTCCTGACATTATTCCTGCTAACATTATTGGCAGGTGGTTATTCCATAGTTTCTTGCTGTACCTTCTTTTCAGCACTTTTGATTCTTTGGAATCAACCAGCGGCCAACAGGTTTTCTGTTCGGTCCAATCAGTTGAAAGTGGCATACCGGTATAGATAACGGAATAATTGATACAGACTCAAAGAAGTGCTTTGATGAACAAAAGTAGATAAAAAAGAGACAATGCCGTAATGCCGTGAGTTCCTAGTGCTTTCCGCAAGATCTACTTCCTACTCGTGTCGCTTTGGGACGGAGATCACCTGCTGCTACACGAATTTTCTCATGCTCTCTGAAACTACTATATAAATACCAAGGGCATGAAAAGACCTCCATGAGTATACCAATACAGCGGCCGACACCTCAAAACAATTCTGATTGGATGTATACTTCTGGTGTCCATGCACTTCCCCATGCTGCACCAATAATACACAGCAGTCGACAATATATCATCACACAGTGTCCTAAGAAGCACTCGATGGGAACTTGGAAGGCAACCATGATGCAAGAAATGCTAAGACATCGTCAACATTTCTTGCATCAACAACATATAGAACCTTAAACTAGGCGTTCCCATTCCTTTTTCACCATTTTACTGAAAATTAACACTTGCCGCTGGATGCCTTGCCCAAAAGCGCACCAACATTTGCTTGTGTGCGTAGGCGACACAAAAATATGCAAATGTGGCATGAAGTCGCCTCATTAACGTTGAAAGTTTCTGTGTCCAAAAAGAAGGCGCGGGCTTCACTAAGAACAGCTAAACAGGCTGGAAAAAGCACATGAAAAGTTCCAAAGCGGAAGTCGAAATACTATTGGAAAGCAGCTGCGTGATGTGTTGCCAACGAACCTTCTAAACTTGAAATGTGAAATTCTTGGCTCCACACTCCACAGTTGCTTGCTGAGGTCAGGTGGACGAAGCACTCTTGCATGATGAGACTCCAATTGTTGTTGGTCCACGGCCCAGTGTGGTCAGAAAGTAGCCATCTCAGAGTTTAAGGGTCTCAAGATTGCTGAAGGGGATTGGAGTCAGACTGACTTTGGTGCCTAGGTGGCTCGTGCAGCTCGTCCTGTTACAGCATTACCACTCCAACCAAGGTGTTTGAATACGTTTGCTGAGTCCATATGCCATAGGCATGTACTTGGATTGGCTTGTCCATGGGGAACCTGACGCAGCCCCATCTGTCCCAATCTTGGCTTCTGCTAGCAACAACAGCTGTGTGGAAACAACAGCTTTGTGCAAGGATCCAGAGGTACAAGCGAGAATAGCAGCAGAGCTTCAGCCGTTCCAGGACGGTGTCACCACCATATGCCGGTTCTAGAGGCTGTAGTGTTGCTTGATGTTGCTTGAGCTTCAAGGACTCAATGGACTGGGACGGTGCCATTGCGCTTTTGGCAGCCTTCGATGAGGAGAAGGCCTTCAACAAAGTCCCCCTGGCATGCATCATGGCGGTTCGTCCTATGGAAGTTAGGCTGGGAGAATCACACGCAACAACTGGTCCTCTCCTCAACCTTGCCAGAGTCACCATATCGCAACATATCACATCACTATACATAACTACTGGTTTGGTATCATTGAGGCGCCAACTGTCTCGCCAGCTGGAGGTGCTTTGTTGCTGTTGTGGCAGACAATTATTGATGACTGAGAGAATCTTACACACGGTAACAACGAAGCACAGCACTGGAACATGTGCAAAGTGCAAAGGTGTTGCAATTCTAGATTCTAGACTCCAGGTCGTGCAAACTCAGCCCCGAAGTGAGGGCCGGGTCTCTAGAAAAGGCGGGGCCCTTGGTAAGGCTCAGCTTCCATGGCTGATTTGAGAAGTATTGTGTGGCATTGTTCTACTTCTAGATCATCGCGAAGCCTCGAAGCAAATTTAAACGGTATGATACTGAAGCGACGGCCCACCAGAAGCAAGCTCAGGCTATGACATGCGGGCTTTCTTCCTCAGCCCAGCTGATCGCCAAGCGCTGTTCCATCGAATCGACAGTAGCTTAGATCATCTGCAGCTTTTGTGCTCTGTCTGTTGGACACTGCAAGCTGCATACTATATTAGTTTCATGGATGGCTGAGGACAGGCTTGGCACCTTCTGCATATTATGCACCATTTGCCTTGCACTTAAGCAACTCAAATGCAGGCGGTGTGTGGCGATGCTTCAGAAAGGGCTGTTGGAGGAAGTGGCGAGTACCCCAATTCACCCGAAGAATAAATTCGGCATCGCAAGGGACTTGATGTTTTTGCCCTGCTGAGAGGCCTGTCTTCTGGAGCAAGGCGAGTTTGCTTGACATGCATTTTGGAGAGTTTCTCCACCTGAAAGAAGGGAACGCTATGACAGAGGGCGCTGTGGGACATGCTGCAGCATCTACACACATACAAGCCCTGATGCCGCCGACTCCCCTTGTTTTGGGGTGCGGCGAAGCCTCGGCGTGGACACACTTAGATTGATGCTCGCAAGAGCTAAATCAGTTATGGTCGGTGCGGTAGCCCTTTAGGTGAATACGTAGCACTTGACTTGATTCAACGGCAAGAAGTGAAGGGTCCGCTCAACTGAATGTTTGAACAAGCTCGTTACCCCTTTAATGCATTAAAATGCTGCAGGTACGTTCGGCTGATCAGGCCGAATGTCCCACTCTGTGACCTAGCTTCGTTGAACTGGGTCAGTCACAGAGCGCCCAGTTCCCCTGCTGTTTGTCCACCAGTGGTGAATTATGCAATGCAAGTTCCTTAGAAACAGGTGTGGACACAAACAAAAAGCCGGGAATCCGGCGCGCTCTCTTTTTTCTCCGCGGGTAGGGGTGGGGGGAGAGGGGAGGGAGTGCGTTGACTAAACGAGCCTGGATGTCCACCTAACAAGCCTGAGAAAAAGAACAAGGCAAACGAAAAGGCAAGAAAAGAAGAGAAAGGTGCAAGGGGTGCGGGGGTGTAGGGTGGGTGCCGGAGGCGTGAGAAAAAGCCGGAACCGGCGCAGGTGAAACGTACAGGTGAATACTTAGCCCTTGACTAAAAAGTAACCTGAGACCTAAAAAGCCCCTAGAAAACGAAAGAAGACCTAACAAGCGAAGAGCAACAGCAAGAAGGAAAGAACCGAAAAGTAAATACTTAGCCGTCCTATGACTGACTACCTAGCCGCATGTCGTGAACATGGGAATATTTAGCTGCATGAGAAGTTCCATACTGGAATTTGATCTCAGTAAGCCCTGGGGCGTATGATCAGCTGTTCCAAGTGGAGCAGTGGATCAGGTAAAGGTGCGAGGAAAGGATCCGGTGAAGGCCGAGGAATCAGGAAGGATCACCCTGTATGTGCACATGCTGCGCCCCTAGCCGGGGATCACACCACAGACCTCAGTGGGACCCTGTGGCGATACACACTTAGTTTGATGTCGCAAGAGCTAAATCAGTTATGGTCGGTGCGGTAGCCCTTTAGGTGAATACGTAGCACTTGACTTGATTCAACGGCAAGAAGTGAAGGGTCCGCTCAACTGAATGTTTGAACAAGCGCGTTAGCCCTTTAATGCACTAAAGTGCTGCAGGTATACTGCCGCGGTGAAAGTTAGAATGACGGTTTGGGAAACCGCAGGGGAACATTTTTCCACTAGGACCACCCGAGGTGACTCATAAAGTAGGTGATTTTAGAGGACAAGTTAGAATGCTGTACCATTTTGTGCATATTGGACAAAAACATTCCGCGCAAATAGCGCTGTGCTAGAAGATAGAATGACGCACCATCTAAAGTCAAGACCGCTTTGGTCAATGTCAGTGTGAAATGTTGTGCTTGGTGCGAGAGCTAGTGAGTTTGTGAAGAAAGAATACTTTAGTATGTTCACGCATGGCCTCGCCGCTTCTCTGAATTTCACTAGGGCTGACAATGTGTGGCGATGTGTGGACCAAATCTATGTTGTAGATTCATACAGCGACACACTTTCTGGGAAACACATAGCTTCTGAGTTCAAAAAGAGCATGATGACATGTAATAACAATGGACTGCCACATTCAACCGCATTGTATGTGTGCTGTGATGTGTACAAGCCAGCAAGGCAAGCAGCTCGGGGATCCATATTCTATGTGTCATAACTATTTGGACCTGCATTTTATGTGCACATTTAACCGCACAAGTGGAGCAAAAATGATGAAATGCCATGCGAGGTAAAAAAGAACATGAGAACCTGTGATTGCAATGGACTGCCACATTCACACGCATTCTATGTGTGCTGTGATGTGTACAAGCCAGCAAGGCAAGCAGCTCGGGGATCTATATTCTATGTGTCATAACTATTTGGACCTGCATTTTATGTGCACATTCAACCGCACAAGTGGAGCAAAAATGATGAAATGCCATGCGAGGTAAAAAAGAACATGAGAACCTGTGATTGCAATGGACTGCCACATTCACACGCATTCTATGTGTGTTTTGAGGCGTACAGGCCAGCAAAGCAAACACATCTCGGTGATAAATACTCTATCTGTCAAACCAGGCCGCATTCTAAGTGTATGGGGAAAAATTTTGGGAGATCGTCTCCCCATTCTATCTTCCACTACGTCAGTATACGTTCGGCTGATCAGGCCAAATGTCCCGCTCTGTGACCTAGCTTCGTTGAGCTGGGTCAGTCACAGAGCGCCCAGTTCTCCTGCTGTTTGTCCACCAGTGGTGAACTATGCAATGCAGGTTCCTTAGAAGTGTGGACACACACACATTTTTTTTTCTCTCGCACCTTTTCTGGTTGAACGAGTTCTATGCCATTTTGGCCTTGAAGCATTGAGGCAAGGTGAGCGCCACCGTTGCCATGCCACCGCAAGGGTTTTGCAAGGCCTTGCTAGCCTTCCAGTCCTGGCCTTTTGGCACCGCGCGAGCCCTGCACTGCTGACAGGAGATCAGCTGGCCTTTGCGCCACATCCGGTGTGATCCGTGGCCTTGCCAGCCATCCGGAGGCTGCCACTCCCTGTTCCAGCACTCTGTTTGAGCCATCTGAGCCAATCTTTCTTTGGCTGCGTGACGAAGCAACCGGCTGCCGCAGTGTTGGCAGACCATGTAAGACTTCTGAATCTCAGAACAGTGGGCTCCCATGCACGAAAAACTGCCCGCAAGGATCTGATGGACAGTCTCTTGTTTGGAGAGCTCCTCAGGCTGCTGTTGGCCACCGGTCATTGGAGCAGGAGTGCCAGGACATCGTTCACTCTGAGCTTGTTCCAAATCAGCCAGTTTCGTGCGCAAAGACACCCGCTTCAAGCATTGATGGCAGTGGTAGGCCCTGCCTTTTCTTTGCCATTGATGGCCATTGGCCGTAGATGACTGACTCAAGCTTGCATACACTGCCTTCTTCTTCTCCTGCGTTTGATTGCGAAGCACCGTGCCCTTCTCTCTCTCTCTCTCTCTCTCTCTCTCCTGGTGGGTGAAGTGATCCTTGGTGTCGAGGATATAGCGTACCCTTTTGATGGCCTGCAAAGCCACCCTCCGGTACTTCTCATCTTGCTGCCGAAGCAGGGTCTCCTCTTCGTGTGGGCGTAGTGCCATGGCGATTTCTGCTGCCGCTTTGGTGGCATCATGGTAGCGGTTCTTGAGGGTCATGACACCTGCCGGCATCTGCTTCACCTGCTGGAGACTGATGCTGAGCGCTTTGACTTGTTGCCTTTGGTCGATGGTGACCAATTGTTCAAGCTCATGGAACACATGGCCATGTTTCCCATGCACCCAAGCTTCCCAGGCCCTGGTAGACATCACATGAATCTTCACCTGCGTGCTGAGGTTGATGTAATGAGCTGCCATCCTCAGGCCATAGAACCAGGCTCGTTCAAGGGTCTGGTCGCTTTGGGAGCACCGTTGCCACCGTGCCCATGCGGTACAGCTCAGAGCCATGGCCAGCGTGGTTGACCAGTGCCACAACGTAGTGCCTGAGCCGGCTGTCTTTGCTTGTAGCTGCTATGCCAATGGTGAAGACTGCCACATTGCTGACTTTGACCTCATCCTGATAGGTCCAGTTGCCCCAGGCCTGAACGGCCGCACCTCCTGTAGCTATCTGGTAGCGTGGAAGTTGGAGGATGCCCTGTGTCCAGAACTCCATGTTGAGCCCATGGTCAATCTCAAATTGGTCTTCAGGGTCCAGAGAAGGACAGGCCTGATTGGCAGCCTTGCAAATCCAAAGCAGGTGCAGGGCATTGGCCGGTTGACCACAGTGAGGGCATTGAAGATGCCGGTTTTCATCCTGGTCCCCCATCTTGGTGAACAGCGCTCCCTGATACCACGTCAACAAGGCGGCATTGTCCCTGGATGAAAGAGTCTTTGACAACTGCTGCCATGGCTTCCAGTCCATAGTGTATTGGATTTCTTGGAGCATAGGCCTTTGGTTGAGCCGAGTGATGCGTTCCCAGCGTTCGGCTCGTTTGAGCTCTTCTCGAAGTTCAAACCATTGTTCATTCATGTCCAGCTTGAAGTCCCTGCAGCCGTTGTGTCCCGGTTTGGTCCAGACCCCATAGTTGCTGTGTTCCCATTGGTGATCACGGAGGTAGCGTTGCAAAGCTGCTACTGGGCCTTTGGCAACCTGCCAAGGGTATTGGGCGGCAGACAATCGTTCATGGATCACTTGCCAAGCTTTCTCAAGAGAACGATGAGTGGCTTCAGGCCAGTTGCCATAGAATCTGTGGTAGACCCTGATTTGAGCCATGAATGCTCCATAGTCAGGGTCCTGATGCCTGCTGTTCATGTCATAGACAATGTCCAAGCTGCCCGTGCGTTGCAATCCAAGCTGACGCCCCATCACTGCACTGATCTTCTTGCGGGTTTGAGGGGCCAATCCCATAGCTTCATGGCCCCAGCTGATTCCTGCAAGCACACTTCCTTTGTAGAGCTTGAGGCGGATTGCTCGCTGAGGAATTTTGAGGGCCTTCAACTTCTTGGTTTTCCTCACCACCTTGCCTCGCCGGTTTCGCATCGTTGCAATGCATCTCAATCGCCCCCCCGTGCAGTCGACTCCGAGATCCCTCATGGTGTCGTGAACTCCCGGACCTGCTTGCGGTAGCCGTTCTTTGAGGAGGCGTTTAGCTGCACTGTTGGAGGCAATGAAGCCAGTCTTCTTCTCA